TAACATAATAAAAATACTCAATACCAACTAATATAATAAGACTCTTCAAGTGAGTTAACAATGCTAATGTAAATATAAAAAAAACTAGAATTCAACATTTTCATTCTTGATTCTTCCCAAGTTTTTTGACTGATGATGGTGATGGCATCTTTAAGGCAGGTAATATCTCTTTCCTCAAAAACTGCATTTGTGCCTGCATTTGTTCCTGCATTTGTTGTTGCAAAAGTGCTTGCATTTCTGCTTGTGCCTTCATTTGTGCCTGCATTTGTGCTTGCATATCAGCTTGTGCCTTCAATTGTGCCTGCATATATTGTGCTTGTGCCTCCATGTGTGCTTGTAGTTGTGTCTGCAATTGCATTTGGGATTGTGTTTGTAGATTCAATTGTGACTGCATCTGTTCTTGCATTTGAGACATTTGTGTAGCTAATGTAGTGATGTCTTCTCTAACAGGTGTGGTAGAGGGACCTACAACAGTTGAAGATGAACCATGCATAGTAATGCTAAGATCTAAGCTATGACCCATGCCGTGGATTCTACCTTTCTTATTTTCACCAGAAATTTGTGTCCAAACATCAGTGTCAACTATAGGATGCTTTGATGCGTCTTCCCCATACTTTTCAGCCATAGCATTTTCATATGATTCCTACAAAAAAAAATGTATCAAGGTATATATAGTAATAGATGATAAACAATGTTTAATTTTTACATTAAAAATATATACACACTCTTACAATGAAATTATTTTATTTTATAGTCTCTCCCTCTCTTTTCTCATGGTGAGGTCATTAAGCACTCACTATTTAGTGGTTTTGAATAATTCTGAAAGGAAAAAATGGACTTTGGATCGGCTAATTTTCACAATCTTCTTATATATTTTTTTTCTTTGTTTAGATGATGTTGTCTCCTTTTGGGTTCCTACATGTGTATCTCTACACAGAGTGAGAACAAGATGAATTTTCTTGCGATTAATCATGATGCCAAAAGAGAGGCTTAGAAGCAAAAAACTATTCGATCTGCATCCTTCTGGGTATTAATTTATATTAGAACAACATCATGGTTTTGATAGATTAGTTTATAAGCTAATTAGTAAAGGCAT